ACGTCACATTCTTGTTCACCTTTGCTAAGGCCCGGGAAGACTGTCATAATACTTTTTGCCTCTATACTGCTTTGATCCGCCAAAAAATAACGAGGTTTCTAGGTGCTACAAAATCGTCTAACAATAACTAACGCTACTGCAACATTAACACTATTTTCGTTGCTAACGAAAAAATGTCCACCGACGTCCCAGCAGCCATACCTATCCCGAACATACAGCGTAAATAAACACCAGTCATATTTATTGGTCTTATGGGTTGAATCTATAAGCGTTAGCTATCCATACCGCTGAAGCTTTTCAAGTTGTTTTGGATGCACAAAAACAAAACCGGAGATGGATTGGCGAGAAGTTTTATACGATTCGACTTGATAACCTTCCTTTTTTAAAAAAGAAATTGCGTCTTGGATATCTGGTACTAGCTTAGAAGCGCCAATAAGATAAGTGTTTTGTGGTCCACGGACTTTGTATTTTATATTGGCGACCTCCCTCCACTTTAATTCCTTTATACTCATGCCAAGATTCAGCTTCTTAGATGCATACTCTTTAACTGCATTTACTATTGCAGGTGTAGGATAATTTTTCACTGCCTCCTTTTCTACTAAAACTCTAACAGCCTGGGAGCGTTTAAGCTTGTCACTTTCATTCAAATTATGTGCATGGTCTGAGGAACCCAGGAACCGTTCAACATGCACCTTTTGCTCGACAACAAACCATGATACCTTTATTTTTGCATGACATAAGTCTGCTTCTCGGACCTTGGTTTTTTGTTATTTCTCACTTGGAATGCCTTCTTTACGCGTACTTGATTCAAAGTGTTTGGCAAAGCGACATACGAAGGTTTTCCAAGAATTCCCATTCACAAGAGTTTTATGACTAAATTTCACCCAAATGTTCGTAACTAAAGGCCACTATTTATCATCGAATTCTGTCATCAGGACTTCGAATAGTTGTTGGACATTATAAAGTAACATACGTTTTTGATCACATGTAAGACCCACTATTGAGTCCATTACCATTGTGTTTGTAGAGGACCTTTGCTGCAACAAGTCCACTGATTCAAAAATTTGTTGCGGAAATACCGTGCTTATTCTTTGGGAGGTGTTTTCTTTGCTGGAAATACTCATTATCGTTATCTGTTATTATTTTGAAGGAAGTTCTTGCTACGGTTATGATTTTTTTTTTTTTTGATTTTTTTTTAATTTTTTTTTTTAATTTTTTTTTTTTTTTGTAAAAGTTTATACATGGGAAATTATTGTAAGTCTTAAAAAGTGTTTATGCACTACGGTCAATATTTAAAAAAATCTCTTAATGTTTGTAGGCTTTCTTTTGCAGAAAGTCTTCTCTGACAAAGTACTGTCAAGAAGTATTAAGTTTTTTTTCTGGTAGGAGGAAGCGGTTTATGTTTTGCCAATTTACCTTATATAGCGCATTAGTGAGATTATCAATCTTGAATTTGATTGGCTGTCATCGATAATATGATAGCTCTGGTCTCTGGACGGTCAGGCCATCGATCACGTGATCGAACCTGGCTTTAACGGTTCCCCAAATCTAGTAGTTCGGTACTGTATTTACTTTTGGTTTTACTAAATTCCACCTTCATTTTATATCCCAGATTTGCATTTTGCATCTTGCATAATAATAGGTTGTAGAAAATTCTCCACACCAAAGGAGATAGAACTTCACCCTGGTCTATCTCATCACCTGCCTCTATAAAGCTGTATTGCCATACTCTGTTATTGTACTTAGCTTTCTACCTTCGTACAAATATATAATGAAATCTGTTAATTTCAGTGGGAATTTTAGTCTTTCAAGTGCTTTTCTAAGTGCAAACATGCTCACTAAGTCAAAGGCTTTTTTCATATCCTGATATACAATCCAAAGCTCTTTATTTTTCTTGGCTACCTCTTCTATTATATTGTTCATTATATATATCAGAGCTGCTGTACTTTCTCCCAACAGACTTGCAAAATTTGCTCTTTTTAATATATTGTTTTTACAAATTACTTGATCTAATTTTACTTGTATTATTCTAGTTAAGACTTTTTTGCATGTTTCTAGAAAAGCTATTGGTCTTGTATTGCTCAGATTATACTCCCAAAAATTGCCTTTTGGAATTAAGTACCGTATTTCTCCGAAAATAAGCTACCTTCAAAAGAAGCTACCCTCCTTTTCTCTTGAAGAGAAAATATAAGAAACACCTTGGTTCCGAAAATAAGTTACCCTATTAGCTGCAAGTAGTTGCTACATATAAAAGTCGAAATTTTACTAAGTAAATCGACAAAATTAGTTTAATAGCGATTATTCAGAAGGTAAAAATACAGCTATCCTGAAAGTTTCATGCAAATCGAAGAACATTTTACTAAGGTGTTTTTGCATTTTACGATCAAAACGTAAAATGCAAAAACACCTTAGTAAAATGTTCTCCAATTTGCATGAAACTTTTAGGATAGATGTATTTTTATCTCCTGAACAATTCTTATTAAGCTACTTTTGTCGATTTACTTAGTAAAATTTCGACTTTTATATGTAGCAACTACTTGCGGCTAATAAAAAATCAATTATTTCTAAAAATAAGCTATCCCCATAATTTTTGTATAACTTTTTGGCCAAAAAAAAGGTAGCTTATTCTCGGAGATATACGGTATAGCTATTCCAGTTTCCACTTGTTTGGTATTTTTCCTCTTTTCAGAACCATGTTTAGAAATTTTACCAATTTTTTAGGTTTGGGCTCTATAGCTTAGTGGTTAAGCTGCCAAACCCCCACAGTATAAGCTAAGGTTCATGGTTCGATTCAGGCTGGAGGCGAAAGAAACTCTGTAACCTTATGATATTAGGAGCTAATAATCGGATATGGAGCCCTGTGGAAAGTCCAAGTGAAGTACGAATCTAGAATAGGAATTCCTAGAAGGAGATCTAGCCATAGAGAGCTGGCGTTACGTGGAAGGTTTTGGGGCAAATAGGTTGCGCATGTAAATCCACGA